TGCAGAGGGCGCAGAGGGGTGAAGGGCGAAGGTGGTACTTCGGAGGTGAAGGGCGCTGTGTGGGTAACAAGGGAGAGTGTGGGGAAGAGGACACGTACCTGGTGATGGTGGAGGTCTGCATTGGTGTCGACATCATCACTCGCTGGTAGTCAAGTTGTCTGGTTGCTGCTCATTGCTGTAGTTGTAGGATAGGCTGTAGAGTGGATAGGGCGCCTGGCGCCATTCACAAGAGAGAGCTACATTTGGGTTATGCTGTTGGTGTTGCCCTGGTGGGCATGGACATTGACTCACGATTCTTCTGTATCATTCTCAATGGGATGGTTACTCGGTTCCATGTGCTATCTGCTTTGGCTTTGAATACTTGGACTTCAGTGTGATTTTGCATTCTGGATTTCTGTGCTTCGTCGATACTCATGTTCCTTGCAATTTTTTCCATAATTAAAAAATAAAAATAAAAATAAAAATCTTCTGCTGTCCATGACCGATGTTGAAAAATCGGCGGATGAGCTGTGGTTAGTGGTGAAATGCCACTTGAACTCGGAGCTAGCTGGTTCTCCCCGAAATGCGTTGAGGCGCAGCAATTAACTGCACTATCCAGGGGTAAAGCACTGTTTCGGTGCGGGCTACGAAAGTGGTACCAAATCGAGGCAAACTCTGAATACTGGGTACAAACTTAAGTTCAAATTTTGACAGCAAGTAACATTAACTCAATTGACATTAACATAATAAGGATAAGCAACCGGACTGTTGCCCCCAAGAATAGATGGGAAAAATCAAGCCCGTTAGGTTGGGTGTTTATCCTTCTTTAGAGTCCCACTGCTTAAGTTGTCGTAAATTGGCTTGCTTTATTGCTCTGTTAGCTGAACAGGTAAAATTGTATCCAATCTGGGCCCATTTGGTCTCTTGCGGTCCCATTTGGCGCATTCCCAGCCCTATTCTGACCTGGTCATTGTACTTGGTACTAAGTTGGTAGTACCAGTAGAGGAAAGAACCCTGTCCCCCTTTTTTTTATTAGAACGCGACTCCTCAGCCATACGGATGAGGCTTAAAAAAGGAGAAAAATAAAAAGGAACGCCCGGCAACTTATGACGACGACAGAGATGCTGAGTCCCTCAGGACTGCAGGGGGTTGCATTTCCTGAAGCACAAAAAAGAAAAAACAAGAAGAAGAGATGGTTAAAAAAAAAAAGAAAAAAAGAAAAAAAAAGAAGAAGAGATGGTTGAGCAACAACCAATGACCTGAAGGGCACATGCTTTCACTGTGACAGTGAATTAGAGAATGAGATGCTCAGATGAAAAAATGGGTTGTCCATGGTCGAGGGGTCCTACTCGCAAAGTGGATTGGATTAAGAACCTGAATGTGGATGGGTTCTAACTTCTAAGCAGAGAGAGATGCAGAAAAGCAGATCAACAGCGATTTTCTGCACCTCTCCTCAAACACGTCCAGATTCAGGTGTTAAGTCCAATCCTCTATGCTAGTGGGACGTTGCCCCAGATGTATATCCATCCATCCGGGCAACTTGCCAGATGATCCAACTGTCACAATGTGTCAAATCACATTTTATAATTTTTAAAAGTTTTTAAACTTTTTATCAATGCCCAGAAGACATGTTGTGAATTGGTTTCACAGAGGGTACTTGCTACTTTGTGATTTTGTCGATCCAAGAGGACGCAAAGAAGGCAAAGTACTGGAGATGAGTGCTGAACTCAAAACTGATGCCTCCCTCCTTAAAATGCGGGTACTGGCTAAGACAGGACTCCACCGGGATTCAAACTCAGTATTTCTTCAACGACAAGTACATGTGTGGGTACCATTTAGCTACTTAGACCTGACTTTCCTCAACGCGTCCCCCCTCCCCCCTCCGTCCCTTCAAATTCAGCGAACTAAATGGTAATTAATTACATCATGGCAGGTGAATGTGGAGTGTAGAGGGGACATTTTGGTGCTGGGGTCGTACCTCGGTTTGAATGACAGTCTTGTCCAGTGCCCAGTCATTTTTACGTGCTGTTGTCTGCATCACAGCGGTGAGAAATGACTGAGGGTTAAACAGTCCAGATATCCAGGTCACTTTTGGCAGCGTCATCTCTCGGATCCAGTCGGCAAGCTGCTGAATCCTGTCCAGCAGGTTAGTTACCCATGAACCGAGCGGTCGCAATGAAGGATATGCGAGGGTCTCCCAAGTCATAGGTACTCTGTCTTCAGCCAAGGCAAACATCAACTTCTCCATGGGTTCAGACATCGTAAGGTCTCCCTTTAGCCCGAGATCCAACTCTTGCAGGCTGCGAACGATCTCAGCCGTCAAAAGGTTCATTCTGTCGATTTCCTGCAGGAAAACCACTGTGTAAGGAGTCCGTTCCTGGTCAGCTAACCGACTGTTTATGTCCTCCATGTTGAATGACCGCGGGACCCTTTCCATGACGTCATCGAGAACAAGTTTTGCCTTGTCCTGAACACTCATCACGCCCGCGGCACCAATCGTGAGGCGCTGAAGTTTCAATACCTCATCCATCAGTTTGTCACCCTGAGCGAGGCGGAAGCGAATCTCTGCATTTGGATGAAGTCCAAACATGATGGGAGATTCAGCAGGGACATTTTGGAATACATAGGTGATGAGTTCTGCCTGGTGCAGGATGGAGGAAGGAGTGGAGAAGGACGGAAAGAGCTCCATGCCGTCAAGCAACTCGTCTTTCATGTACATAGAAAGATAAGCACTGACAGTGCGACGGTCCCAGTCGTCAACCACATGTCCCCCGTACATGATCTCACCAAAGATATACCGCATGTCATCCCACGGAACTCTAATATTGTTTTCCAAGTAGTTGCTGGCGCACTGAGCACAACTGGTAAGGTCTCCTGTGTTGAATGGGTAGTTTTGATTCCATCCCTGAGGACCAAACTTCTTCCGTTCGAGGAGCAGGCTGTGGAATAGACATAGGGTGAAGATTATGATCTTCAGCTCATTAGGCTTGGTACAACTGTCGTAAACCTCATCGGAGAAGTTTCCCAGGGCGCGAAGAAGGTTGGGACGAACGCCTTCGGGCGGCTCATTGCTAAGCTTGATTGAGTTCTGCAGCACCGGGACGGGGATCTCGTGTGAAGGCTCCGCAGAAAGAAAGAGGCGGAATTTGTCATGCACTCCCTCTCCCAACTTATCAATCACCTTCTCCAGAGGTCCCGCCGTCCACTTGGGAGTTAAGTGGATGTTCTGTAGCAGCACCCATCCCCCTGTTTCTTGCCCGTGCTTTACAGCTTTCAGGGCTGGTTCTTCCTGACCCTGACCCAGCGACACAACCTTGTACAGTCCATTCTCCTGTTTGAAACCCATCTTTCGACCAAAGTTTTCGACAGCCTTTGCGGCATCAACACCGGGAGACAGGAAGATGAAGATTGGAGTGCCAGCTCGAACATCAGCATAAGCTTCTTCCAGATTGAAAGGATATGATTGCGCATATTTGTCGCCAATTTTGTTGCCTATGTACCGTGACGCGCCACTCGTCACTCTATCTGGACGCAGAGCTCGCACAATCTGTCACAAGGCAGTGCATCATCCAATCATTCAATCAATTCACAGCCGTAAAAACCGCGAAGTACCCTCTTTGAAGCCTTCAAACTTTAAAGTGACTTTTTTTTTTTTTTTTTGCCATTTAAATTTTAAAGTGACTTAGTACTTACTATGTTTCCATTTTATTGTCTTCAATTTCACCAACTCAATCACTAGACTCCAATACTTTATTACATGTCTGAAGTTGACTATTGTGCTGCCCATGAACACCCGAATGACTGCAGCACACACACCTGCTGTAGCTCCCCGCAATCCACAATGTGAATTTGTCTGGGACGCTGGGCCCGGTTCCCAGTTGGTGCCTATTTGTGAGGATATGGTTGTATTTGTGGGACGCTGGACCCGGTTTCCAGCAGGTGTTGCTACCCACCAATAGATGGAGCGTGTGTTTCCAAAAAAAAAAAACCGGTTTCCAGCAGCACCCCTTTCAGTCCAAAAAATGGTTTTTTTTTTTAAAAAAAAAAAAAAAAAAAAAAAAAAAAAGTTTGTCATTGTAGCCCTGATCGTGACAGCCGGATGTTTCGCAGCCGAAGAAACTGAACCGGTGACCTTGGATATAACAGCCGGATGCCTTAGCACTACAACTGCGACCCGATGTTTAAAACTGTGGCCATACCCGTCGTGACATTTAGCCCACCCCAGCACAGTTGCAGCAAGGACGTACTCGTCAACACGCGGCATCCATGAGATCCTCCGCGTGCAGCAGCATCCATGCAGAATCCGAGACCCTCCGCAGGTGTCACCATCCACACAGACACCATCATCCTGGTAACCACCTCTGGCTGGTTACTGCGTCCGTACACTGTTAGTTTGTCATTGTGGCCGAGGCACCACACCATATTAATGTGTTCCTCTCAATTCATGGACCTCAGACCATCACACATCCACTAAGCAGGGGAGTAAAAAGGAAGTGGACAAAGGAATTTGTGCAGGTGAAATATTTTTTCCCTAGCTTACCGGGCCGGACGTCCGGGACCCTCCCCTGGTTCTCCGAGTTGTCCCCCAGGACAACTTGTCCTCCCCCAAAAAAAAATACGGGGGGCTTGGTTTTTGGCAGTTTCGGGATCAGGACGTGTTCGGGAGGTCGGAGGTGTGGGACCAGGCCTGAGATACATTTTTTTGAGGCCATAGGCCCTCAAAACTTGTTAAAAAAAAATGGGCCCAAAATCTGGGCCGTCAGATCTTGGAGATTGGCGACCCAGATTGGGCCCAGATCTTGAAGCAGATGCAACTGCTGCTGCACCTGTTGCATCTGCCGCAGCAGATGGGGCAGATGACCCAGCAGATGCAGCTACTGCTGCACCTGTTGCATGTGCCGCAGCAGAGGCTGCAGCTGCTGCAGCAGATTGTGCAGATGTTGCAGATGCTGCACATGCAGCAGGTACTGCACCTGCTGCAGCAGGTGCTGCATGTGCGGCACATGCTGCACCTGCTGCAGCAGTGGACCCTCCACGCACCCAACCCTCCCCTACCCACCCCCCACAATCCCCGTTTCTTTTTTTTTTTGGTCCAAATGAGCTCAAGTTTTTTGTACGGAGTCTCCTCGTTCTTTTTTTTTTTCGCTTTTAAGCTTGCGAAAAAAGACTTGTCCGGGATCCCGGACAACTCCCCTAACGGACGTCCGACCGAGACATCTCCAATCGGACGACTTTTTGACCTAAAGCTTTTTTCTGAAATTTTTCATATTTTTTCACAAGGTCTTTGAATTCTTTCGAGGTCCTTACCGTCCTTTCAATTTTTTCGAACCCTCAAGGTTGTCCACGATACTGGTCGTATTGTAGCAAGGAGTGCCAACAGATTGATTGTCAGGGTGTGGCCCCACTGAATCCTTAAGAGGGCTCTTAGCAGTAATGTGGCATACATGCTTCACACACATGGTGAGTCACATGCACACGTTGATCTTTATGCTACCAGCTTGATCTTGCATATTAACAATGGCCAGTGGGTATTTAGGCACTGCTGGGAGGTACCATGACCATCTCTGAAGCAGAGATTAGCGGAACTCATAGCGCTCTGTAATCTCCGCGCGAAGCTCTTAACGGTGCTAAGCAAACAGACAATTTGCTGCTATCATTGCCTTTGTGAGCAGTCACCATGTATGTCGTCATGAATTTGAACCAGGTTACGGGGCATCAAGTTGGGGACAGATAAATGTGGATGAACCCAATCCTTCTACTCTCTCACCCTTTGCTTTTTCTCTTCTTTTGCTTCCACTTATGCATGATGCATGACTGTCGAAGTACCGATTGGGCAAACAAGGGGAGCGGTTGTTTTTCCTTTGGCTACCCCATTCTGATGAATGGTGTAATGCTTTCTCGATCAATAGTCTGAATGTTTTCCTTGAATAAGTGGATGTATCTCTCAATGAATGTTTCGATCTTTCAGATGTTCACTTTCCAAAAAACCAACAGATCCCTCACAAACCAGCAAATAGTGGGCGAATATATCTTTTTTTTTTTTTTTTTTTTTAATTAAATAGAGCCTTAAGTGAAGGCATTGAGGACCTCCCTCTGGGGATTCGTGTTTTGGACGAAATATACATCCGGTTTGACATTTAGAATGGGGAAGGAGGTGAAAACCGCTAGCTCTCCTGATGTTGACTGTCGGTGGGAGAACCTGTAGGCTTTCTATGGACTGTTGTCTTGGAACAATAACTTCCCACTCGCCTGTCTTCCCGGTGAAGTCTCCCTTGAGTATCTCTTTCCAGCTTTCTGGGAAAAAAAAAAAAAAAAAAAAAGAGCCTTATGGTCCTGGCTCCTTTCCATTCTGTGGGCACCAGTCATGTTCCTTCGCACCAGTTAAGTCAGAGTGGTACAACCAGAACATACGTTTCCTTCCATCGAAGACGAAGCCTTAGGATTCCCTGGGGAGAGCTTCCCCCCTAACCAGCTCTTATAAAAATCCACTATTTGGCGACGGATGTCTGGTCTGCTGGGCCGTGAAGCAGATCAAGCGTTGATTAGGTATCCTCCCACGCTGCCGTGATCTCCATTTCAATGTGGTCATTGTGTTGTTGATGTAGTTGGTCACTTCCTTGCCTCCGACCAGCACATCTCCCATGTTGTGTGCGCATCTTCGCCACCGAAAGACCCACCCATAAGATTGCTCTTCTCCCCAGATGGTAAAGGTTATCTATAAAGGTGCTTGACTTCGACTGAGGCCAGCGTCCTGCCACTGTTGCCCTCCAGTCCCATGGCCAATTAACCCCATCCACCTCTCTTCTCCAGATCCAGTCCGAGCACCTCCGAATGAAGACCGCACACAGAAATGCATAAAGATGTGTTTGATGGTTCCCAGGAATCGGTGGGGGGGGAACGACACTGTGACAGCATTTGCACCATGGAAGGACTCTTCCTTGCTGTTCCAGCCTAGTGCGGTCAATTAGCCAATTGTGGAAGGAGGGGGGGGAAGACGACGAGCAGGGGTGGAAGGAGGAGGGGGAAGACAACAAGTGTGGACGACGAACAGGAGGAGAACGAGTGGAAGGAGGGGGGGGACGACGGCGAGCGGGGGTGGAGAGAGGAGGGGGAAGATGATGAGCGGAAGCAAATGGACAACGAACGGGAGGAGRASKRSTGGRAGGAGGGGGGGGACGACGGCGAGCGGGGGTGGAGAGAGGAGGGGGAAGATGACGAGCGGAAACAAATGGACAACGAACGGGAGGAGGAGTGCCAGGAGGAGGAGCATGATTAGGAGGGGAAAGACAACGAGCGGAAGCAAAAGGACAACGGACGGAAAGAGGAATGGCAAGAGGAGGAAGTGCGATGAGGAGGGGACGACAACAAGCGGGAGGAAGAGGGGAGCAGAACGAGAGGTAGGAGGAATGGGAGGAGGGGCAGAAGGATGAGCGGGAGGAGGAGGACAGAGCTCCCACCCCATCTCCACCTCCTGTCCCACCCCTCCTCCTCCCGGTCCTCCCATGCGATGACGAGTGGAAGAGAAGTTGGAATAGATGGCGAATGAGAGGAGGAGAAGAGGGAGGAGGAGTGGGAGGGGGGTTGAGCAGGAGGGGGAGAAGGATGTGGTGGCGAGGTAAAAAGCCGGAGGAGGGGAAGGCGGTGGTAACGGAGTGGGAGGACAGGCCGTTTGTGCTTCGGCATTTTTCTTTGTTTTTTTGTTTCTTTGTTTTTTTTGGGGGGGGGAGAGTGTGAGATGATTGTGCTCCCTCTCCTGTTCGTGAAACCCGGCAGGAGATGGAGGGCAGGACGAGGTGCGCCACAGCTACGGGCCGACTTTTTTTTTTTTTTTTTTTTTTTTAATTTTACGGGCCGACTTGTTAATTTTAAAGCTACTTTTACCTGGCATATTATCTAGAGTAAAAGAGAGCTGCATTGCAAGTTGAAACGTACATAAGAGGGCATTTTATAGTTGGTTGAGCTATAGTTGGTTGAGCTAACAACTGCCCCTATCAAAGATGATGAGGAGAGGAAGTGGTCGAACGATGAAGACGGTTTCTTGTTACATGTGAAATCCTGTCGGTCTGGGTTATATAGGTGCCCCATGGATCTTCCAATTCCCTTTTCTGTCATACTTCTATTACTGGGTATGACTCTGATTCATCTATAGATTCTATACCCTCCCCTCTCTCACACGGGATACTCTGCCTTTCGGGTGTTGCATAGCTCGTGCTCACTATATATATATATATATATATATAACGATATATATATATATATACGAAACAGTTTGTCACAGCCCCTCGTTTGTTGTCCTCTTCTCCCTCTCTGCCTACGGTTTACCGGGCAGTTCTATTTGACGATATATATATATATCAGCTCTTCGAACTACGGTGAGCATCCGCTGTTGCCTTTTCATAGATGCCTTCAAAACCAGAGACCACAGAAAGTAGATTCCTCATCAATGATAGCAGGGCACACAACGCGATGAAATACATAGAGAGAAAGGGGAGCAGAAGCGAAGGACAGCCACTGGGGGGGGAGTGAGGATGAATATAAGAGAGGCCTTTTTTTGGGGGGAAAGTGGGAAGGAGGGAGGGGAAGCGGTGGGGTGAGAGACACTTCACTAGTAGCTGCTGAAATTCTGGCATTCTCTTCCAATCGCCAGGGAGTGGCTCTGCCTCCGGGCGCTCCATCTCTGTCCATTCCCGCCATCGCTTTGCAGCACTAATCATCTCATCAGGCAGAGATGCAAACTCATCAATCTCCTTGAGTGCTTGTATGCACAGCCACATGCGGTTGGTCATCCAGTCTGCCATGGGACTCTTGATTGTCTTAGCAACTTCTGGATCAATGTTCTTCGGGCCCTGTAGGAAAAAATCCAGCATTGGAGGTGGGAGTTCTCCGGCTTGCCGCATAATTGATAACGTCAACTGCATTGCGAAAATGAGCTTGTGCTTTTCGAACAGGCCGGCAGAGACAAACTTAAAAATGGCAAAGGAGGAGGTATCGAGAAGCTCAGCAACCCGCTCGACAAGATAGGTAGGGCTGGTTTTTGCAAGGCCCATCCCTTTATCCATGACTCGGATGAACGTAGCCATGGAGAAACGGTACATGTGGTCCAGGACATCCAGACGGTCAATCAGGAAGTAGAGCAGAGCTCCACGAGCAGCAACTGACCGATAAATTTCCCGAGCAGTTCGAATGCCTTCTTCTGTCTCCCTGGCCAGTTTCACCTTCTGCTGAATGTCGAGCGAAGTTCGTTTTGTCGTTTCGAGGTTCTCGATCAGCTCAATATCTTCCAAGATGTCACCCTGCGAATTCGACAGCTTGAACAGCAGTGCGTCTTCCAGCTCCTTTACTTGAATCTTGAAGTCGTTCAGTTGCCGAACAAGGTTCAGCCGCTCGATTTCAAGCTCGGGCTTTTCTTTGTTGACGACAAGCGCCAGCAGCTGTTCCTCTAGCCCGCGCTCCGTTACCGAGAAGTTGATCAATGTTGTCTGCGCGGCCACCTCAGGTTTATAATGGGGGTTAGTCATCTTGGTGTGGAGGTATAGCCGAAAGTTGGCATCGTACTCCACCTCCTTCTCCCCAAATTTCATCAACCTACTCTTGCCCCTCCTGACAACACTCCTGGAGATCACTGGATCTAAGACGGCGTCTATATACTCACCCAAATTCTCTATTAACAGAGGCAATCCATTCTCAATGCAGTTCTCGACAACCTCCATGTACTTTGGTTGGCCCAACTGAATGATCTTTATTCCGTTTTTGCCCTCGCGAGTTCGGATCCACTGAATGGCTTGCAGCTGAGGGTCGATCATCAGTGGCCACCTGGCGCAATTGGAGATGATTGCACCATTCTCCATGCTCAGAGAGTCAGATGGCAGCCCCTCGTTCAACCATTTGGCCATCTCCGTGTCATCGGACAGCATGTCCATTGGTTTTGCACCAGGTGTCATTGGAATCTGCCTTTCGATCAGGTCAGGTGTCCAGCTTGAATTCACCAGGCGTTCTCGATAAGGAGCTGTAAATGGGCCAGCATAACTCACAAATGCTGCAGCCAATAGCACGTCTCCGATAAGCTTGCCTTCCTTTGCTCCAAAATGTGCAATGCTCTCTCCCCATCTCTCGTTCTCGCTCGCCAATCCATTAACCAGGCGGTCTGCCAAGCTCACTTTTGTCCGCGTTCTGTCCACCTGTGCCTCAGCCATATTCTTGTCTTCCGTGGCGCGCATCAATGCCTCCTCCAGCTGGCGGACACGGCCTTCCAGCTCATCCACCTGTCAAGCCAGTTGTCATTCTTGCATGAGTTCCCCTCACTAGCACTCTGGAAGATACTGGTTTGATGCTGATGCATCATCCATCTGTCATGTCTTCTCACACATTCTGATGGAGGGTCTACTCATAGTGAGACATGACTACACATTATTAGTGTTCCTATATATTTAGGAGTTCTTGCCATACCAAAGCTTTTGCAGTGTTGAGAAGTTACCCAAGAGCACCAATTCTATCCAATGGCTATACTATTCCACAAGTCCAGGTTTGAAAGATAAAGTTGATAAACCAATAAGTTCATAACCACAGAGTTCTAACAGATATAGTAAGAGCATAACAACAGGGAAGAGCCCATGCTTGAATATTATATTCCCTGGTTCCCATCTGAAAGCATTCGATAAGAAATCAAGTTTGAGCCTAGGGGATCTCCATGGCACAGCTTCCAGGATATCCAGTATCCAGATGTCACCGCAAACGGCACGATCCCCCCCAAGTTGCGGCGGCAAGAATTAAACCTGCCACTGCCCACTCCTGCTTGAAATGGTTATGATAATATGATGACAATGTGGTACTTTCCTTTTTGGAGGACGATGACGACCAAGAAATGCCACCCTGGACAACATGACGGTGTTGATGATGATGAACTGAAGAAGGCAACGAGAGAGCAGGTAGGAACTCCTCTTCTTCTTCTTCTTCTTCGTTCTTCGTTCTTCGTTCTTCTTCTTCAACACACTCACAGTGGTTGGAAATGACTTCAAATCCTTCTGCATACGTAATGTATGCAACTTTGCATTATTTCGTTCATGCCACTTCGTGTTGTTGGCTAGCCTGGAAGTTCTTTTAGTCTCAGGCTGACTCAGGAATTATTTATGTTTCCTTCTTTGGTGGCACCACTGTGACGAAGAAAGAGAGTTCTGCACATGTAGATTAAAAAGCGACCATCTTAACCCTCTACTCATCCTTTTCACATCCCCAGCCATCAACAGGGAGCAACAACATCGATCCCAAATGACTGCAAATTCCTTTCTTTTTTTTTTTTTTTTTTTTTTTTTTTGTTGATCAGAACCTCTCGGTTCTGGCTCCTGCCATTCTGGGGAGCAAATTCTGACTCCTCTTGCCTGCAAGTTTACATTTCCGCTACAATTTCCAGATTGGTCACAGAAATGGACAATAAAGTTGAATAAACTTAGGAAAACCATTTTTTGGACCAAGACTGGCAACACAGCCATTTCTTGGACCGATTTGCAAACTAATATAATAATCACTGTCGCGCTGCCGCACCCATCTGGCAAGGTTAACCCGCTCAGCGACTTTCATACCCCTGGTTTGGAGCTTGACATGTTTGATGAAGAGTAAAAAAAGTGCCGATAGAGCTAATCACTTTCAACAAGATCTGTTCATAGGCGAAGAACATCGGACAGAACCCACTAGCTGGGGGGCGAAGGGGCAACGAGCACCATAGAACTGCCATTTTGTCAAAATGGACATCTTTTATTTTTTGAACGAAATTGAAACCGAGTTTTTTGGCCGAAAACTCGTCAAAATTTGCTGTTCCTGAGGGTCCGGCGTTTGTAAAACGCTGGACCCCCTGGCTGTACATGGACCTCGCTTGAGACCAGGTACCTCCAGGCAGTCCTGCCTGGAGCTGCCTGGTCTCAAGCTAGGTCCATGTACACAGCCAGGGGATCCAGCGTTCTCAGGAACATCAAATTTTGATGAGTTTTTTGGCCAAAAAACTCGGTTTCAATTTCGTTAAAAAAATAAAATAAAAAAATGTCCATTTTGACGAAATGGTCGTTATAGGGAGAAAACAAGGGGAGAATGATGTCACAAATTCTCACAATTAGAAAAGAGAACAGGATGTGTTACCTTAGCACGGACACCGGCAAGCTTCTGGTTGGCTTGGGCTAATTTCTGATTAGCCTCTTCCAGCCTTGCACGCTTGGGGGCAACAACCTGATCCAAGTGTAAATTACGGAGCAAAACCAGCAATCCGAATTCAAGGATGAGTTTGCATCATGTTTATTACTGTACTGAAATGTCTACTACAAAAGTGCCTCCAGTAATAATGTGTGAGCTTTTAATGTCTCAAAACTAGTCCAAGATGAGTTCAAGATGAGTTTAAGATGAATTACCTCTTTGTGGAGAAGGGACCCTAGCGTCGAATGAGGTCCAACCATTTTGTAGAGTGGTGTAACTTGCCATGTGTGGCGGTGAGATTCATACTCATGCTGTGTCCTGATTTGGCTGGAGGTGCCAGGCTTGGGACACTCTTGGCGATTGCCATGGGGTGGACGGCGAGGTGTCCACCCTGTGTTGTATCCATAAGTGCCTCCCCACCAGCAACATAGGCGCACCAACACCATGCAAAGAACTCAAATGAACACCATAAAGAAGAAGATGATATGAGCTTTATTATCGTGACGTCATCAACTTCTCCTCAGCACAATCCCTCCACCAATGGTAGAGGTACTCAGCACCAACACCAACCACCTGCAGTTTATTACCTGCATGCATATGCATGATGCACGTATGACGTATGGATAGCATGGCCGCGTATGTTTGGCATTAGGCTAACCACGTCGATTTAGCCCGTGACATGGAGATCCAACGTATGCGTCCCAATTATTTCCTATATGCATGTGCATGTATGGTGTACTGACGTCATGACCATGTACATTTGCCATTGCGAAGTATGCTTGCAAAGAAATGGCTAACCACATCGCGTGCTTTGAACTGTACATGATGCATGTGGTTGGCCACATTCAGATCCACATAGTATGCAGTGCTGCAACACAGCAAGATAGGTTGGATCCTTCGCTGAATTATCTGAGACGTACATTACATGCCATGATGGAACATGACCGCCACTGGAGGCAATGATGCATATCAGTGTACATCCTGTGGCAATATTTTCGTTCTTACGACCTTCCTCCATCCCCGAAAACCGCCGTTGAGAAAACTGCCCTACCCTCGGGTAGCGCAGTTTTCGCAACGGCGAGGGAAGGGCAGTTTTCTGAACAGCGGCACTTCATGCTTTAATCAAGTTTAATGATATGAATAAAAAGAAAACAAAATAAGTCCTGAAAAAGCACCCCAAAGCACGACGATAACAAGACATTGTAAATCTGCAAAACTCTGTGATCTTCGCAGCATCAATGACACTCCTCAGTCTCGCAGCGCCACATGTGATTGCAAGTTCAATGCGGCAGGTGGGATGCGGCTCCAGGTGCCTGGTCCCACCAGCTGTTGTTAATGTGAGAAAACTCAATACTGTGACACATTTTCAGCCTTATAAAAAACCAAAACAAATGATTAAAAAATCAAACAAATGAAACTTTAAATGTTCGTTCGCATTTGGAAAAAATGATATTCCTGAATACAAAGTTGCCTGACACCCACCGAGAGAAACATGGTGGAATAATTACCGTCAAGCTCAGAGTGCAGATTGCCACTTCACCATTTGTCTGAGTGAATGTAGAATCGTTGTAGATGCATTTCTCTGTGCAGTGCATCCTCATAGTGCACGTTCACCTTTGGACTCATGATGACGTTCGCATTTGTGCTCTTCACTGAGATATCCAAATGGAAAGGGCTTTCTCAGCCTTTCTGAAAAAAAAAAGCAACGAAGTGCACAGTGCATACAGGCAAATTGAGTGGATTTGCAAACTTCCCGAAATCTCCGCAGCCCATGGATCAAAAGTGAATGGACACCTGCTGCCACTCCTGATCGAAAAGGCTGCATTGAGAAAACCCGATGGCCGTAGGTGGGATCAGGCCCCAGCGTGTGTGATCAGCATTCGATCTGTTTACTTTTGGTGGTTTTCGGGATTTGTCGTTTGGGTTGTTGGTTTCCTTTTTTGGAGCGGGAACTGCGCTGGGTTCATCATTTTGGGGCGTCTGCCTATTTTCGTTTTCAGCCTGTTGTCGTCTTTGATCAGCAGCACAACGGCGATCAGCAGGGCAATGATGTGGATCAGAGGATGAAGGCGATGAGGACGTCTCAACATGTCACCGACCATCTCCTCCTCCTCCATACCGACACACTTCTCCTCATCCTCCATCACCTCCTCCTCACGTCCTCGCTGCCACCCCCTCCTCCTCTCTCATCTTCGTCATTCGGTCACCTCCCATCACCTCCTCTTCACTTCCTCTCTGCCACCTCCTCCTCCTCCTTGCGCTCGCCCTCGCCCTCGCCCTCGCCCTCTGCCACCTCCTCCTCTATGCATTGATATATCAGTTGTTGTCTGTTGTCATGTTTCCTATACACAACTCCAGACGGAAACATTTGTGCCAGACTGTTTCGTCAGAAGATGAAGAGGAGAATGTTGATAGAGGAGAGTGGCATGTCAGAGGAAGAGGGGGAGGTGGAGGGGGAAGAGGAGGACAGGAAGGAGGGGAAGGAGGAGGAGGACGTAGCGGAGAGGAAGTGAGGAGGAGGTGGCAGAAGGTGGTGGTGTTACTGTTGCAAATGAGATTGAATATGGGATGGGGGTTGGTTGAGTACATCAAGAGAACGAAGTGGCGGAGGACGAAGAGGGGGAGGAAGAGGAGGAGCTGGCGGAGGAGGATGGGAAGGAGGAGGAGGAGGAGGAGGACGAGGGGGAGGAGGAGGAGGCCACAGAGAACAAGTGAGGAGGAAATGACGGAAGGTGGCGTACTGTTGCAAGTTGGAACGAATGTGGGATGAGGCGGTGGGTAAGGAGAACGTCGATAGAGGAGAATGACATGGCGGAGGAAGAGGGGGATGAGGAGGGGGAGCAGCAGGAGCAACTGGTGCTGGAGAATGGGAAGGAGGGGAAGGAGGAGGAGGAGGCGGCGGAGAGGAAGTGAGGAGGGGGCAGCAGAAGGTGGTGGGGTTACTGTTGCAGATGAATGTGGGATGAGGAGGTGAGGAACATGGGAACGGGAGGCAGTTTGTGAAGGAGGGGAGGATGAGGAAGTGGCAAGGATTACAAAACTGGTAGGGTCAAACGAGGGGAGATCTGTCCATCTGTCCGGTCGTCCATCCGTCCGTCCACTTGTCCATCTGTCCGGCCGTCTGTTTGTCTGCCCGTCCATCTATCTGTTCGTCCGTTTGTCTGTCCATCTGTTCGTCTCTCTATCTGTATATATTATATATATCATCCAACAGAGCTGCCCGGTAAACCGTAGGCAGAGAGGGAGAAGAGGACAACAAACGAGGGGCTGTGACAAACTGTTTCATCGGAGTTTCACCGGCTTAATATATATATATATATATATATATATATATATATGGTCACAAACAGAACTGCCCGGTAAACCGTAGGCAGAGAGAGAGAAGAGGACAACAAACGAGGGGCTGTGACAAACTGTTTCGTCGGAGTTTCACCGACTCATCAGGAGGCTGAACCCTCAACA